AACCGCCGCCGCCGGCTCCACCGCCGCCGCTGCGCGGCATGCCGCGACGGGAGATTGCGGATTGCGGACGGCCATTGCGCCGTTCGCTTAGGTCGGCAGCGCCGCCGGCAACGGCAGCCGCGGCTTGGGTGGCTTCGGCGACGGCGGCAGGGGGCCCTGACGGCATCCTCGCAGCCGCAACGACATCCCCCGCAGGTGCAACGGCGGCGGTAGCTGCTGCTGCTGCTGCTGCGGCGGCGGCGGCGGGGTTGGTGGAATTGGCGGCGACGTCGAGGGCGGGGAACTGACAGAACGGCGTACGACGAGGCGTCCTCACCTCCATTCGTACGACACCTGGGGAGTTACAACCGGTCAGTAGGAGAGCAACCAGTAAACAGAAAGTGTGGAGCAATACAGCAAGTGGGCATGCAAATTCATGGGCACGATTTATACCCCTGACAAAACGTCGATCGCAACAGCTATGGAAGATGTCACATGATGTGCAAAAGCGGAAAGAGCAAAGCGGCAAAAGTCTTTTATCCTTCGTTGCTCCCTCGGAACCCTCGGAAACTTACGTTGACGCGATAGGCTCTCTGTCGCTAGGTCTTTGCCAAAACAGTAAAGACTAATTAAATTTATAAAGAATAAAAACCAAGTGTTACGAAACGGTTAATTCAGTTTGTTTCCTATGTAAGCCTGTGCGAGTTACCTTTCCATTCGTTCGGCTGGCCGTTGTCCGGTATCAACTCGTCCAACATGAATTTTAGCTTTTCCGGTTCACAAGAGAAGATTTCCGACAGAATGCCGCCTCGTCGTTGGCAGTGGTTGTGGTGGTGGTGGTGGTGGTGTCGCTGGTAATGGTGGTGCAGCGACGGCAGACCACTGCTGGTGCCACCACTCATGCATATCCGCGCTCCCGCGGGCCCTGATCCTGCTCCTACGGCAGGAGAATGGCTTTTGGCTTTAGACGTGGTCAAGCTTTCCATGCTCGCGCGAGGCGTCACATGTTCGACCATGTACGGCCCCAGCCAGGCGACTGAAGCTGTATTCTGATAAATGCATTCTTCGCTCGCCACCGTCACGATGGTTATCATTTCTGAGGTCGTCGACATGATCAAGGAGTCACGAATAGCATTGGCATTATTGCAACGGTTGGCAGAAGCCTGCGTTTCGTTAAAAGACGGTTGAGGGAGGGTCAGACGGTTTCGTAAGATTCGCGCGCGCGGATTAGGGTGTAATCTGTGTTGATTCGCTGACGCTGGCTACGCACAGTGACCGCTAATTTCCCGTCACTTATGGAGGCTGATGTTCGATAGCCATTACTCGCGCCTTGCGCCGTGTGTTGACCCGGCGGCGAGGCAGCAGGGACTTGTTCAAATAGAGCCTTGCGAGATGCTTGCACCCGCGGAGAATCAGCGTCCTCAGAATTGGGTGCATCCCGAAACGCTTTTGGTAATTTTCCAGTTCTCTTAAACCAGGGAAAGCAAGTCACAGCCATTGTCCTGAATGACAGCAGTACAGAAGGCAGCGACACGGACGCACAGTACAGATTGTAAGCTCAGCGCATTTGAACCATGCAAGCTAGAACCATGATAGATCTATCATGAAGTATGGAAATAGGGTGGTAAACCTATGGAAGCTTTTTGCGATGGTGATGTGCACGTAATGGAGCGGCAGCTGACCTTGAGATTGAACCAGGAGAATAATCGGCTAAGACGTCAAGACTGCAGTTATACTTTCACAAGAATGTCTAGGCAGAGCAAAACAAACAATTGCAACATCTGAGTCCTTTCCAAGAAACCGTTTATGACCATATCACGATCACGACAACCACCTGAAAACAAGTAACATTTGTACCGCCCATGTCGTCCGGAAAAATTGCCCTAACAGCGTTTCGAACAACTGCTTTCGTATCAATCGGACATGTTTACGAAAGGTGCAAAAGGGCACTGGACATCGGAGTTTACGTAATGATGTGTTGAAGACCTTCCGAAAAGCAAAAGGGATTCCTTATCTGAGCAGCTTTTGCATCAAGCGTTCTCCTTTGAAGCTATAATAAATCTTGGTGACTCCCTTGTGGCAGTGAAATCGATTGATTTACTATATGAGCTGCACGTGATATAGCCCCTAACCGAATAGGAGATTAATTACGTACACCATACTAAAGTTCAACACCTGACATTAATCGTTGCAAATATTCTGGCATGATCCTGAGAGGCATATTTATCTGTGCATATGGATGGCTGCTGTTCTGGGCACGCTTTAGGCCATATCAACCCGATGGGATCCGATTTGTGCTGAAATTTCCGCCACCGTTAACAAACAATTTCGTGAGATGCCAGCAGAACCACTTTTGGCCTGGCCGGTTCGTCTGTGCGGCAGTGTGTGACTATCTCCGCCATGTCCTCTATTTCTATGTGTCTCCGGCAGTGCCCCGGCCAACTGCCCTTCGAGCAAAGCTAAAAGCTCAAACCTCAATTTTCCCTTAGAGCTGCGGAAGAAGCTACGCAGCAGCAGCAGCAGCAGCAGCAGCAGCAGCAGCAGCAACGGCGGCGGCAGTACCAAATATCCAAATTCCGAACCGAATCAATCGTGCGGATGCGCTCAGAAGCCAAATCCTTCCTTGTCCCTCATCACGCAGTACGGCTTCACGCCAACGTCCTCATTTGAATGCGCTGGCCTGTTTTGGCACCGCAGCCCGAATGGAAGCACCTTTCACACGGCCTTTATGGCCACAGTCCCGTTTGGCCGTCATCGTCATATTATGTATGTAGGTCGCACATGCAGCGGTACGGCCCTGTCCGCAATGACTCAACCACCAACTACGTTCTTTCAAAAAAGGAAGTCATAGCACACCCCTAACACACCCGACTGTATGACTCTCCGCCTTACAGCACTTCCGTCAGGCGAGGCGAGGTCGTATCAGGCCTTTCCTCTTATCAGCAATAATCATTCCCTCCTCCGCATTCACGCGGCGGCAACCCTCCAGTGACCTCTACCAGCCGGTCCAATACCTATATCGCAGCCATACCCGGCATATCGTATATTGGATTGAGCACCGTACAGCTCCATCCACATTACCACACTGTACCACGCCATACGAACTGCAAGTCCAAGGCGGTTGATCCAGCCTTCAGGGATCCCTCCTCATCCACTCACCCGAACATCTGCAGAGACAGAGGGTTCAGCAACCACCAACAATCCAGCGTGGTGCGGATCCATAAACTGTCACTCATGCTCCCGACGACGTCAAGTGTTTACTCAGGAATTATACGTAGGATCGCGAAGTCGCAAATTGCAGGTTCATCTCCAGACCAAAAACGACTTCATATATTTTGTAAATATATCATATCATTTCCCAATTGGTGTAAAGCTCACTTCCACTTCTCTTAACGACCAAACTTTTAGGTCGGATACAGAATGTCGCGCCTCGATTCTTTTTTTCCATTTCGAATTTACTGAGGGGGCATCTGAGGTTGCCTAAATAGGGGCCACGCAATGAATGCAACAGCAGCCTGCAGGGTTAGTTAATGCTTGTGCTGCCCACATCTGCCATTCCCGCTGCCATGCGCACGATGGATTATTGGTGCTGGGAGAAGCAGACGATGGTTTGCGGGACAAAACAGACCATACACCGTCCATACACACATACATACGCAGATACGCACACGTCATTTCCCCTGCTTCCTCTCACCGAAAGGTGAAAGCCACCAACTGCAAAAAGACAAAACAGCGCCTTAATAATTAATTTAAGCGTTCAAATACACGACTTGCTAGGTTCGCATTTTCGCTCGGACATTTTCGCTACGGAATGAAGCTGCTACGCCCAGACCCACATGGCGGGTAGGTTGCGCAACCCGCCCCGCCGAACGGCCCGTGTGGTCAACACAGCCGCTGTCCAACAAAGGTGGTGGTGGTGCTACCGCCACATCCACAGTGTGAAATGACACACGGCCATTTTGACCAACGCCAATCCGACAAAGCTCCAACAACACTATCACTGCAATCCCAACGGACAGAAAAGCCGAAGCCCACGAAAGCGAGAGGAAAGAGCCTAAGAGTTCCTGTTCTTGTTCATCACATTCTCCCCGTCTACCTACGTTGGGAAGGGGGGACTACTGCCCCCTTCGGATGAACAGCTTGTATAAATGTTTTATATGTGTATGTACGTATGTACGTATGTACGTCAACAAGTGTGTTGTACATGGAAGAATAGTATGCAGCGGAGGAAGGTAACGTAAGCACCACAACATCAGCACCACCACACGTCACCGTGTTGTACATATATCGTTGTATATCATGCGCATGTGTATCATATCCACCGACCTCCTCACCCATTTCTATTAATAGAAATGGGTGAGGAGGTCGGTGGGTATGATACACATGCGCAGAAATGTTCAGGGTGGCGGGTGGGGTTTCCCGGTCATCCAACCACCAACAACGACCATAACGACCATAACCAACCCGAACGGATTCATTCCTTCGGCATCACCACACAAAATAGATATATATAGTCCATGGCCTCCCGGCTTTGACGGACCCCCAACCCCCCGCACTCGTGCGGCACTTGTAACTTGTAACTTGTAACTATATAGATAGACAGGATAGTAGGGTTAATGATAGATATGGACAGGTGGAGGGACAAGATAGCTCAGGTGGCTATCGAGAGCCCGCGACGGCGACAACGGCTGCACTGCGACCACAAAGGGAGAAGAAGGCGACAACGGTGAAAACCAACGATAAAGCAGTACATGTATGTATATGTATATGCGTATGTACATATACATATACGTATTACATATATACATACATGTATACACTTATGCATATACATATACACATACACATATACTGATGTGCCTCATTAGGTGTTGACCTCACAGAGAGTCAGGACCCACGTCCGCTTCCGCTTCCTCAGCCCCTCAGCTCCTCACCACCCGTCCCGCCACCACCGCCCCCTACCGCCCCCGGCACACAACACACTCACGACTGGGGTCCCGGCTCGGACGTACGGTATCATATCACCAGTGCTTGGGGATGCCGTACTTCTCCCACACCTGCGGTCGGGTTTCGGAGCAGGATAAGGTCAAGGTGCGGCAGTTGCGGATCCGCCTGTGGCTCCCCACCACCTTCACCACCACCACAGTAAAAGATACGACAACCAGATGGGATGTACGGCAAGCACGATGACCAGCTGCAGGACCCTCAATTTCGCCGTCGTGGTGGTGGGTATTAGTGGGCCCTATCTGTCCGTGACATCCACATCCGCACACACACACACAGAAACACACACACATGTCGGCATCGCGACATGACAGCCATCCGTGGACCCCGCGGATCCGTACGAACTCACCTTGCCTTGCTCCGGGTACCAGCCCACCGCGCCAGGCCTGTACGGCAAGTACGACATGCGACATGGACGCACGCACACGCACATGCACACAACCCAACGGGGCCAGCGGCCCCCCAGGGGGAAGAGGGACTGCATCATTTCGGGATTCTTCTTGAAGCAAGGTACGACACGGACAAGGCCCCCACCGCAACCGGGGTTCATCGGCGGTCTTGCCGTTATCCAGTGTTTGTGAATGTTAGTTGGGTTTACGGTTAAGGTTAGTTAGGGCTTAGTTTGTGTTGCCTAGGCCAGTGCCTGTCCCGGTCCGATACATATACACGGTACAACACACCACTCACCACAACACGTGGCCATACACTCACTTCCGTACACGCACAGGCGAACCCCATAAGCGCCGACCAGACAAACACGACGTGCCCCATCACGGGCACTTCGTAGCTAGGCCATACTATCTTCCTGTTACGTACACACATACAAACATATATACGCACAAACACAGACACACACTGGTCCCACCCCCCAAGGGGTGAAATGGATCGGTGTGTCGAATGCTGATGAGATGAGACACTGAGGTTCCTCCAGTGCGCTGGGCGGCTGGAGGGGGAGCTCACCATCAAGATCTACACACTGTCGCAGAGCAGTGGCGGAGGAAAAATCCTACATAGGGCCTGGACCAGAGGCTGTATATACCGGATAGTGGTTGGATAACGAAACCGGGCGGCGGCGGCAGGATTCGCAAGGATAAGGTGGCGCGATTGGCGCACCGGTGTGAGTGGAGTGCAGCCATTGGCAGATCGCGCAGCTGTAGAGCATGCGCTTTCGGTGGAAGGGACGTTGCTGGGCGTCTGAGCTGGTGTGTGTGTAGCTGGCTGGAGGATTCGAACAGGTGATGGCGCCTTGCGATAATGAGGGTGAGCGGTTAGGACTCTGGCCGATATAACGCCCCTCCAATGATGGAGTGCTTCGGCGGTCGTTCCCGTTGGGGTATACGGTTAGGTGCCCCTGGCCAGCGTCAGGTCCCAATCGGTATGTAACAGATACATACACACACAAACATACACACACATACAAATGCGCGCACGGCCCCTACCTCCCCCCCCACCCCCCACCTCAATGCAGGTGGCATGTACACCAGGGGGCTTAGTCGTACACCTCGCGGCTCCGAAGCCACCACTGACAACGGCGGGAAGTGCATGGGCTCTAAGTAGTATCGGGAGCAGTACCGCCAGAACATCTGTGTGTGTGTGGGCGGGGGGGGGGGTGTTTGGGGGTGTAATGTTGGAACAGGGAAGAGGGAAGCCTACTACGCCTAAAGATCAAGAAGTACAAAGTATGCAAACAAGAATGCAAACATTTATGGCGGATTGTAACCAATTTGTGTCCGTAGGTAAGTAAGCATGTATGGTATGTATAAAGGAGTTGCACTCATTAATCAGTGCATGGCCATGTAAGCACCTCCTTTCCACCGATTTTTCTCTTTGTCCTCTTTCCCGGGACCCCACCCGCCGAAACCCCTCCCCTCCCCTCATCACCCAGCTGCTGCTACAACTGCTATACAGCAGCTACAGCCGCCGATGCAGAATTGGCATGAGGAAAGACATCTCAGTAAGCGCCCAGCTCGAACTCGCACGCCCCGAAACCTGTAACCCCCAGCCCAACTCCCCGCACCCTCCTCTCCCGCCACAACCCTAAAGCCCCCAATCCCCCCCCATCAAACCATCCCCCCTTACCCCCCAAACCCTCCAAACCCCCAACGCACCAGCAGCAGCGGCGTGAGGGTGACCCACGTCACGCCCGCAAGTATCCAGGCCTGGTTGACCAAAAACACGGTGCCTGTGAAGGCTTCCATCAGCAACAGAAATCCAAACATCTGGTTGCACAGCACCGGCCACATGCGGCCCCCTGGTGTACGGCAGGGCAGCCCAAGGGCAATGGAGAGGAAAAGGGGGCTTAGCACCGAGGGAGAGGAGGGAGAGGAGGGAGAGGAGGGAGAGGAGGGAGAGGAGGGAGAGGAGGGAGAGGAGGGAGAGGAGGGAGAGGAGGGAGAGGAGGGAGAGGAGGGAGAGGAGGGAGAGGAGGGAGAGGAGGGAGAGGAGGGAGAGGAGGGAGAGGAGGGAGAGGAGGGAGAGGAGGGAGAGGAGGGAGAGGAGGGAGAGGAGGGAGAGGAGGGAGAGGAGGGAGAGGAGGGAGAGGAGGGAGAGGAGGGAGAGGAGGGAGAGGAGGGAGAAGATGTCGCAATTGTTACAATCTAATGACGATAAAATCCTGACGTTATCAGCTTTAGGCTAATATAGTTCACAGAGCAACTCACCGGATTCGTAGCTGCGTTCGTACACGTACAGTACGGAATACCGGTAGGCCACAAAACCCGTCATGAAGAACAGCCAGCAGCACGGCAGGATGACGGGGGCCACCACCGCGAACGCACAGCCAAACATAAACACCTGACACCGGTGGACGAGCAGTATGTGTATGTATGTGCGTCACACATTAATTTAGTGACCAGGAAGGGGGAAGGTTCGGAGAGGAAGGGATCCAGAGACCTTGTGTATATACATGGATGCGTACGGAGGATTGGGTACGGCGGTACGGTGATACGGATAAGCAATACATACGGCACATCCAAGTCTTAAGCGGCTTATGATTTGGAATACCCCCATCCCTAGGGTTCCAAAAGAGCAACGAGGTAATGTTCGTACATTTCTGTATCAGCAAAGGTGCTGCCCGGGGAAAAGCATAGAAAAACATAGTTTCCTTCAGCGGCACTTCGCATGCATTTCTTGTTTATTTGCCGCTGTTGACCAAGTTCCTTGCGTTTTGTTTTGCATGCGCCCTGGCCCGCCGCTTGTGCCGCCTGACCAGGTGAGTCCTAGGGGGTTCGAGAGCTTTGTCTTTTGTTATTTCGCGCCACGTCGGCCGGCTGGGTTGGTTGGGTTGGTTGGGTTGGTTGGGCCAGGCGTGTGTCAGCTGGGGGGGTGGGGTTGAGAGGAACACTTGCATGTCAGCAAGCACATTTACCAGCAGCAAAAACGTTCATCAAAGTCATAACACCTCTTTTTTCCTCTTTGCCGCCTCAAGTTCTACACACATATGTCGCCACCAAGACCACTAATAAAGTTGTCACTTGTCAGCAAATATTCCCGATGCAATATTTGTCTCACTTCCTGGACTGTCTATCATTCTGGTTACCTGGTATCAGCTTCAAGCGCCAGTGGTTCGTCTCAACCCCCTCTCCTCGCGCTAGGGGGAGAGTGCTTGGGCGGTCGTTCCCGTTGGGGTATACGGTTAGGTGCGCATGGCCAGCGTCAGGCCCGGTAACAGAAACACACGCATACACACATACACACAGCACCAACTTCCCCACAACGCAAACCCCACAGCCCCTAAGACTGCGTACGTGCGTACGTGCGTGCGTCTACCTGCAGGATGGCGTTATAGTAGCTGATAGCACGTGTTGAGGGCGGCATGTGTGCCAGAGCCGCCGCGTGAAGGGATTTGGGCCGGCATAGACCCAGTACGGCAGGTGTGACGGATCGGAAGATGGCGGTGAGCATGGCGCCGGCGTGGGGCCACACCAGCCGCGTGAAGTTGCTGAAGAGGGCGCGGGCGATGCAGAACTGGACAAAGAAGTTGGCAGTGCTGGGAAGGGCTGGGGAGGGCCGGTGCGAGAAGGCAGGAGGGGGAGGAGGACGGCAGAAGAAAAAAATGTTTTTCATAAAGGACATTATATATATCTTTTTCCATTTCAGGCGAAACGAGGATGGGAGGGCTTTTGGGGTTGTGGAGGGGACAAAGAGAAGGGCGTGTAGAAAGGTCAAAGAAACGAATAACTGTCGATGTGCAGAGTACGCAATGTCGACGCCTAAAGTAACCCCAGCCAGCAACCTCCTCCCCCGCCGGGGCCCCCCAGTAGCTCCGGAACCAATCGGTGCCCCCGGGGGCCCCCATAAGAATAAAAAACAGCTACCACAGACATATGTGCGTCCCGGAGTCATGTCCTTGTTGCGATGGGAGGTGTGCCTTCCTACTCTCACCCCCCCCACCTGAAGCCAGTAAACAATCAACCGGGTGGCCGCAACCAATGTCCTCTTTGTTGAGGACGCCATCTCAAAAAAGGTCCCTCCCCTCCCCTCCCCTCCACTTCCCTCCCCACTAAACACGCGATACACATACACGTATACATATATACATACATACATACACACCTCGTCCGATCTTGTCCAGAACCTTCCTGGGATCTGCCAGGTAGGTCCCCAGCTGGGAAAACACGCCGCTGCCCAGTACGGCTCCCAGAAACGTATTGAAGAGAGAGTACCAGAAAAACCACCCTGCGGCAGTACCAGTAGCAGACAAGAGTATCAATAGTAGCAGATAGCAGATAGCAGTAGCATACAACAGTAGCATACAACAGTAGCATACAACAGTAGCATACAACAGTAGCATACAACAGTAGCATACAACAGTAGCATACAACAGTAGCATACAACAGTAGCATACAACAGTAGCATACAACAGTAGCATACAACAGTAGCATACAACAGTAGCATACAACAGTAGGTGGCTTGTGGGAGTGGAGAGGTGGGAAAGCGGTGGAGGAGAGGGGTTTGGAGGTGGAGAACAGGTGTTGCTGGTTCCGGCCGGTCAGGGTCAGGAGGGGAGGGGTTTCGGTGTGGTAAGCGGGAGCAGGCGGCGTCTGTGAGCCGTGCCTTTTCCGGGCTTTATTGGGGGGCGCCGTGCTGGCTTGTCATCCCCCCCGCGGCTTTAGGTGTTTTTGCTGTGTCTCGCGCTGGGCTGCATCCAAGAGCCCGCAACCCCCAGGAGGAGACTGACGTGCGGACCAGTTTCGCCTCGTTTGTGAGTGGACCGGCGAGGAAGTGGTGGCCACCCTCGGGAAGTGTTCGTTGTTCGTGCTCGTGGTAGTTGAACAGCTGGCCTTCGAGGACCAGTGTGCGAGTACTCGCTTTGTGTTGGTCTTTTCTGTGCAACCGTGTCTCGGCTTTTGCGGTGTGTCGTCTCAGGCCCGTGGTCCTCCGTGTCTCCCTTGCCTTGCTGGCTGCGTGGGGCCCTGGTTTTTGTGTGTGTAGAGGAGGCCCCCGAGTAGAGCCCCTGCCCCCGGTGGTGTTTTCTTTTTGTTCTGGTTTTGGCGGTCAAGAGGGACGAGAGCGCGTGAATAGGCAGGCCAGGCGAAGTGGCGCCTTTCGTGCGGTTCTTGCATAGATCGGTTTGCAGTCTTCTGCGCCGCTGTGTTGCCTAGCCAGGGGCTGGGAGAGTGTCCCGGTTGGCGCGAGTGAGGGAATGAGGCGCGCGCGGAGGAACAGACGGTCGTAAAGCCGCGCGCCCTTCCCTGCGCTGTGTTTCGGCCCGGTCAGGGCCCCCGGTGCTCGTCCTTTATCGGGCGAGCCGCCCACAGTGTAACACCCCATCAACAGTAGCATACAACAGTAGCATACAACAGTAGGAGTAACAACAACAACAACAACAACAAAGCAAATGTAACATTCGTTAAAACGCGACCACGAACTGCCTATGGCTGACCTCGCCGACCGCGACAAAAACGGAGAACTCTCGAAAATTATGCTTGAGTTAATATAGGCCAGAATGGCAGAAAATGGGCAGGCGCGGACCTCCGCGCCAAATGAACGTTCAAATGGACGGGCGACAGCCCCAGCTGCTCGCCAACAACCAAGCCGCGCCCAAGCGGAACGAAAGTTTGTGAACATCGACATAATAATGGAAACGGTTCCAGAAGGAACACCATTTCATGCGGAACAGGACCAGGTTACCATGGAAATCCATTGGCCGGCCGGTTCCGACCCCGCGGACATACAAGCCCAGCTACATGGACCAGTGGGCAAGGCCATTTTAAACAGATTACGGGCGATAATACCGCCCGTTGAGGCAGAGGGGCTACTCGGGCCGCGAATCAGCAAATGCCCGCAACGGGCACTCCCCAGCGGCGTGAAGGTGCAAGAAATCAGCATCTTGATCCGGAAAGGTGGTCTCGCAATGCTTACCACCTCGCCAGCAGTCCGGAGGGGACGGCTTCACCTGGGGCCAGTCCATCTCCTACCCAGCAGCCCCCCGGTGGAAGTGGAGCTGCCCATCACGAACCTGGGTACAAGGCGGAGCGGATCCTCA